TTCAGGATCTTTGACCATCCATTTTTAGACCCAAATCATCCTTTGTATCCAACATGGCCTACAGTCCTCGAGCTTATCAACCTGCATTTTTGCAGCAGCATATTTATTTAGGCTTAAAAAAAAAAAAAAAAAAGAAAAAAAAAAGAAAAAAGAAAAAGCCAACAACAAAAAAAAATCAAATAATCCAGTGCCAAAACATGGTCCACTACTGTCTTGTCTAAGCACAGAATAGGAGTTACAGTGATATCGAGCTACAAGCAGTACAGCAGAAATGAGTTTTTATAAATACAAGATCTTTTCAGCATATAATGAACTGTTGACGAATAAGATGCAAACTCCAAGCACAACTCCAACTTACATATATATATATTCTAATGTTCTAACCTCCCGATAAGTTAAAACAAAGTCAAGAACCCCTACAATTCCTCAACTTTCCGAACCAGACTGAGCAGCAGCCCTGCAGATGGTGAGACTGGAGGCATGCATGCCTCTGCCTACCTTAGTTACGGAAGCAACAACATTTGAGCCTGTCCTTTGTCAGAACCTAAAAATTCTGCGTAATTTCCATTAATAACACTTCTAATTTTATTTGAATTTATACAACCATTGCTACGGAAAAAAAGAGCTCAACTCAGCCTGAACAGTTTGAGTACTTCAGGAAACAAACTATTTTCGACTCAAGCTGTGTCAATGGCAGAGACTGAAGGGTTTAAAGGCTCCACTTTAAATAGAAAACATTTTATCTCAGGGAAACCCTAAACTGCTCACTTCGCTTACATTATACCACGCCAGTGATGCCTGCCAGGAGTGTGCCTGTGACAACACACAAGACAGCGGAGGCAGCTACCCCTACACCCTGGCCCACAGAGCCGCTCCATCCTTGCACGGCCACAACTGCAGGACCCGGTTTTGCCGGCGTTTCTGTCTTCTCCTCCCTCAGCGAGCCGGACTCTCCAGGGTTACCATTCTTCACACAATGCCACTGGTATGCAAAGCACATTAAGGACAGATAAAACAAGTAGACTTCTGAGGACTTACAATTTCAGGGCAAAATCCTGAAAACATCTAACCGCATGCCTCCAGCAGAAAGCTATGATGTTTTCAGGCAGTGACCCAGTTAATCCAGTGCTTTCAAATTATTTCTGCTTCTGGAATTTAGAAAAAGTAATGATCCATGGCTTTCTCGATGGCTCTGTCGCTAAAACTCACAGCAAAGCATGCTGGATAGCGGGGTAACCGATGGCTCACACACACAACACTGAATAAAAAGCGCAGACTGGGGGAAAGGAACTAACTTGAACAAAGACAGAAAAATAATATATATATATATTAAAAAAAAAGACGGCTTATATAAAAACTAAGGGGGGGGGGGAAACGAAAGGAAAACAGAGGGGGAGTTAAGACCTCAAAGCCCAACCTGAGGGGTTTTACGCCCGAAAGAACACAAAAACGCAGCAGGTGCAATCAAAGTGCACGTCCCGAACACTGACTGAGAAGCGGAGGGGCGGCCGAGAACAGCGGCTCCCGGCCAGACGCCGGCGTCCCGCGGCTAACCCTACGCAGACACCGAGCCAGCACCGTCCGCGGGGCCGCCGCTCGCCACCGCCCCGGCTGCCCCCTCGGCGGGCACCACCGTGCACGCCCCGTCTCCCGTCCCGCAGCGGCGTAGTCAGCGGGACCCCCGCCCGGCCACGCGTGGCCGCCGGTGCCTCCCGCGGGGGGTCCGGCCGGGCGCGTCTGCCCCGCGGGGCGACGCAAGGTCAGGCCGAGCGGCGGGACGGGCGAGCGCCTGCCCTCCAAACACTTTCAAAGTTGCTTCAGCGGGTGGGAAACGCGAAACGTGGTGGGGACACCCGCGGCCCGGCCCCGCTCCGCTCCCCGACCGCGCCGCGCTGCTCCCCTCCGCCTCCCTCCGCCCGGCCACACGCGCACCGACCGCGCCGCCGCCCCAGCGCTGGCCCCCGCCCGCCCGGGCGTGGCGAGGGGCGCGTCGCCTTCCTCACCTTCCCCGAGGGACTCCGGGCTGGCGGGACGCGAGCGGCGCCGATCCCGGAGCCGCCGAGGGAGGCTGGAACCGGCGCGACCGCGTCTCCCGCTCCGTCCTTCGCGCTTCCGGTTGGTGCCGGGGAGCCAGAGCCGCCGCCGCCCCCGCGCCTCCTCGCAGCGGCGCCACCCCGCGCTCTGCCCGGGCCCCGCGGCGAAGGCGAGGCCGCTGCCGCCCAAGGGGTGCGGGCAGCGTGGCCGCCCCACCTGCAGGGGGCGACGTGTCGGGCCCGGCGTGTGGGGCGAAGGGGAGATGGGTGGCCGGTACCGCTGTGGCTGCGGCCCAGGCTATGCCTCTGCACTGGCCCAGGGTGCAGGGGCGGCTGGCGAGAGAGACCGTGTGCCCACCGCCAGTCACCGACACGTTGATAAGTAATGGGGCGTCTTGGCCGCTCACGGCCAACATACCTCTCAGCGATGGTGTCGGTTGCTGTGGCTGGGCTGCTGTGAGGCGAGCTGAGGGAGCTTGGGGCAGCTTGGGCTGACCAGAGGGGATGGCTTCAACTGAGGCGGGGTGTCTGCATGTCAGTTAACTTTGCCAGATTTAGGAAGGGACTTCTGAACAGAGCAGGACCTGACAGCTGAGGTGTTTCTGGTTCACAAGGTGAGGCCCTGCCATTGCAGGTGGAGAGAGATATGGGATGGTACTGCACAGGCATGGCCACATCTCTGAAAGCACCAGTGTTTGAGGCTGCATCTAAAGAAGCATGACCTCAAGGGAGGTGATTCTTGCCCTCAACGCTTCCTCTTGTAACCCCCCCCTCCGGAGTACTGTGTCCATTTCTGGAGACATCCTCAACACGAAAGGGATGTGCCACTGTTGGGATGAGTCCAGAGGAGGCCACGAAGATGCTCAGAGGGCTGGAGCACCGCTCCTGTGAAGACAGGATGAGAGAGCTGGGCTTGTTCAGCATGGAGAAGGCCGGCCAATACCTAAAGTGAGCCTACAAGAAAGCTGGAGAGGGGCTTTTTACAAGGGCATGTAACAATAGGACAAGGACTAATGACTTGAAATTGAAAGACAGGAGATTTAGATTGGATATAAGAAGTCATTCTTTACTGTGAGGGTGGTGAGTCGCTGGCACAGGTTTCCCAGGGAAGTTCTGGCTGTCCCATTCCTGGCAGTGTTCAAGGCCAGGTTGGACGTGGCTTTGAGCAACCTGGTCTAGGGAAGGTGTCCGTGCCCATGGCAGGGGAATTGAAACTGATGAGCTTTAAAGGCCCTTCCAGTCCAAACCACTCTGATTCCATGACAGCTTGACTGGCGAATACAAGCTCCCCCATCCATATTCCTCAGCTCTCAACAGAGAGACAACCCACTTCCACCCTCTGAAGCCACACAGGCCCTTCCTTATCCAATCTTTCAATGTCATATACTCTGCTGTTGAAGACTGAAAATAAGCAGTCACACTTAAAGGAAATGACTCAAAAGGCTCACCGCCAGACAATTTTTCTACTAATGCAAACACATCACGTGGCTGCGACAGTATATTTTTTATATTGGTGTTATGCAAAATTCAATGTCCATCACTGCTTTACTGTGCACTCCCCAGCTCGTCTGCTGGTGTCTGTTACACTGGTTTTACACTCACTGGAGATCCTCGGCTCTCTCGTACTTGACTACTGCTAGATGCATGTGCAGATCTGCCATATAAAAATCAGCTGTCTAGCACAGTGAATCACAAAGACTTGTGCAGCATCACATTGAATCATATACAGTAATTGTACATCACAAAGATGTATAGTATCGAGGTGAATCATGGAAGAACACTTTACTGATGAATCAAATGCAATCATTTCGCAAACATCAGAGGCTTTTCCCCAAGGTGTGTTATTTTGGCACGAGGGAGGGTAAAAAGCAGTTGAAACAGTGAAGCACAATTGTACGTTTCTGGCCATAAAAGAAGACATATTCAACTGAGCCATAGTAACTGGAGTAAAGTTCAGTGTTATCTAAGCACTCAGTATAATAGGCACATGAAGATGCTAAGAAAGTCAAAAAGCAGGCAGTGGTGAGCCCCCCTTCCCCCACCTGAGAGGTCCAGCATTGCCAGGACAAGCAGCGAAGGAGGTCAGTGTGCTCTGGCTTCCCCTGGACATGGCACTTTCAGGCGCTGTCTGTCTGGTCTGAGATCGCTTGTGTTTGCTTATGCACTGACCTGCTGGTGAGCCTGGAGAAGTCTCCAGGCAAAGCCAGTCAAAGATGCCACGTTTTAAAAGAAAGCACAGCTATCAATGCAAACCACACGAAACTCATGCTCAGGAGGAGGACAGGTGCCACGTACTCAGTCTCTTAAGTGCTGTGACTAAATGCATTTATCCTTCCTGTCCAAGGCAATTGCAATTAGTCAAGTGTTTTAAAAATCTACCTAAATGTTAAATCACTTGATTCATAGGCATTTGCTTAGGAGAGCAGAATGCTTGCGTTGAGAGGTCCCTTGCCTAGGGCGCTTTGTCCACGCATTTTGTCCATGGCTGTGTATGTACGGAGCTGGGATTTATCAGGTCTGACTTTAGGCCCTGGTTGCAGAAAGAAATAACCTGTTCCAGTAGTGCATGAGAAACGAGGGGGTGGTTAATATTTCCTGCTCCAAGAATTGGAGTGCAGAGTCTGCATCAGGCACTGTGTTAACATGCCACTGTTCAAAACACATAATTGCACTTGCTCTGTTAGAGGGCAAGAGAGCGAAAGCGAAGGACTCTGCACAAGGACTGTGCAACCCCAGTGGTACACTGTGAAGCTGGAATTATTGCAACAAGGTTTTAAGAGTGTTTTGGGGGCTTGTATTCTTTCTGCCCTCTGGCTACGGAGTCCTCGCATCTTTTAATGTTTTTTCCCATTGTCATGGAAACTAAAAAATTAGCTAGAAAAGGTCAGAAAGCGGAGAAACCAAAGTTTCTTGGATGGTCATAATACCATACAAAACAATGAACCAACGTGTGGTGGTATGGTTTCTCCCCCTTTTTGAGACAACAAATTCAAACTGAGGAGGTCTGATTTACCTCTGGAGAGCTCAGTCCTAATCTCAGGCTTCTTCAGTTTACATGGAAGAGAGAAAAAAAGAAAATACTTAAAAGCTAACAAAAGTTATTGCAAAGCCACAACAATTGGCAAAGGATAAAGGCAGCTCTAGCAACTTTTAACTCAATTTTGGAGTTGAAAGGATTCCTGTGAATTGTCTCTTTACATCTCCTTGCCATGCTGGGTGTGCAGTGACGTCTCTCCGCCTTTCAACATGGAAAATACAGTTCTATGTATACGTTCAGGCGTTTTAAATCATCCTCCCTGCCAAAAGCAGCAGGCACACCCCTCCCCTGCCCGGCAAGCCCTGTTCCTGCTGCTGCGCTGCCCACCGGCTTTTGCAGAGGGAATGGGGCTGCGAAGGTGAGGCAGCTGCAGGGAAAAGCAGTCGGTTTGCACCCAGACCTGCATGCAGGTCATCAGGCAACTGCAGAGTCGTGCCAGCACAAAGGCAGGAGAGGGGCAAGGGCTGATACGAGCAGCTGAGAGAGGACAGCTCCTGGAAATGCTTTTATAGCAGTAGTGGTGGGTTATGCCAGCTTAAACTGTATGTGAAACTTGAGACACGGATAATTTGGAGGTGGACACCTGCTCCGTATTTTTCAGTCTTCCTTCAGGACTGGCTCAGAGTTCAGCTCAGGCTTAGTGCTGAGGTTCCTTTGGAGCACTTCTGTTCCTCTGGCTGCTATGGCTTGCTCTGCTTTTAGTTTAACAATTGGACAGAAAACATGGTGGGGGGCATGCCTGGTGTGTACTGGGAAGGTTGTGCACATATTGCTGTAGAAGTTATAGCACTAGTGTATGCTAGGGTTAATCTATCTAGTTTGAGCTGCATTGGCAGTAACAATATGTCAGCATTACTTTCACACCATTTGTATCATCAGGTTTGTGACCTGGGAGAGGTGCAGGAGTGGCTCCCCTGAAACCCCTGTCTGCATCCCTGTTTTTGCTTGCACTCTACAGACTGAAATTCATGCAGGTATGTTCAAATATGCTGCAATCACACACCTCTGCAGTTACACCCCAAAACATAGCTAGCAGGGTTGGCCTCATGACTCAAAGAGAAGTGGCGTGGTACTGCCAGCCAAAATAAGCTGCAGTTAGTCTTTCTGAGAGATGGCGAGTGGAAAATCTAAGGGATTGCCTCTGGATTTGCCTCTGAGGCAATCCTGCCTTTCTTGCTGTAAACAACATGGTTAACATGCACCCACAAACACTGACCTGATACTACATGCGGCCCCCATGCCCACAGCCAGGGCTCTGATTCTTGTTTGCTGCAGCAGCCCGGTTGCTGGTGTGCTGTGGGTAATGGCTGTCGACTTTCATGGGGAATGAAGAAAGACAGACCCTGTGCGAACCATCAGACATCTCTTAGATCCACACAACTGGTATTTTTTTCTGCTGTTTTCTCTTTTTCTCTTTTTTCTTTTTATTAAAGAGAAAAATAAGGAATTTGTGCTATTGCCTATATTGCATATTTAACATAAAATATAATAAAACTAATTATTATAAAATTAGAAAATTTAGAATTATCAAATACAGGTTCGAATGATAAAATACAGGCATTCATGTGGCAGAGAAGGTTTGTGTGCAATGGGTGTCTTACATGTGGATCAAATACCTGCTTTGTGCATGTTGGTTTTCAGAACTGACAGGCTGCAGCTTGTACACTATTTGTCTTTTGATCAGGCATGTGTGCAGTATAAAAAGCACATACAGCTTCTACAAAAATGTCAATATAATTAACAAGGAGATAGTAATGAAATGGCAAAATATTAACATGAAATATATGTATTGATTGGTTTACAGGAATGGTTTTCTTATCTTTTACTGGCACCACAGTTTTAGCTGATCATTATACTCAGCTGTAATCCACTCACTAGTACTACTCTCAGTTACTATTTCATTACATACTTTTAATTATATAGAGAAAGCTCATACACCTTCTTACAGCAAATTTTGTGGTCAGTTAGACTTCATCCATTGTTCTGATTTTGGTACTACTTTCGTCTAAAATGTAGTATGGCTTAGCACTATTTTCTTTGTTTTAAGGCTGGACTGAATTTATTCTAGCTGTGCCACTCTGTGTTTTCTGATCTGCACTACTGCAAGCTCCACTGAAGCAACAGTCCCTTCATTACCCTTGTAATCTTTTCCCAATAGGTTGCTCAGTTGCAGGGAATCCAGGGAGAGGCAGGTGCAATTTCACCTCTGAGGACCACCAAGATAAGATGACAACAGAGAACATTCAACAGCTGGTTTAAAGCATTGTATGCCATTTTCTGTATCAAAATAATTAGTTTTCATTTACCTTTATTGGAAAGTAAAGGCAGCCACTGGAATAATGAAAACTTCATCCACCAGTGACAAGGAGTCAGTTTGAACTGAAAAGAAAATATTAGCTCCTCTTCGTTATGTACTATAGTATCAGTAGCTTACATTTTTTTGCTACTTGTTTAATTCAGAGTACATTAATTAGAAACAAATCTGTTGAAGATCACATCTTTTTCTCTTTGCATTTAGAGATTAAGGCTAGAAAGTGTCCCTAATAATAGACTGCCTCAGAAAAGCCCTTATTCTAGGTAAATCACCTAGATAAATTAGCTGTATTGTATGTAAATCAGCTAGATGAATTAGCTGAATTCTAGGTAAATCAGCTAGATAAATTAGCTGTATCGTATCAGTTCCTTTGCCAGTGTTCCCCAAAACGGTGCTCAACACCCCCCCCTCCCCCCCCCCCCAAGACACTAGCACACTATTAACAATGCGTAATTGTGACAGGAAGGGAAAAACATAGATCTGTGAAAACCTCTAACTAGTTCTGGCAACAGAGCTAACTGATCAGGAGCATCACAAAGGAGTTACATGCCAGACAACTGGAACAGGAGAAATATTAGGGCAGGAATTACAAATGGAAGGCAATGTTAGATTTCAAACAGACTCTAGGCAGCAACCCGCCAGTACTGCAGCCCTCAAGGGTCAGTCCTACAGAGAATGAGGACATCTAAAGGAAACCTAAGGCAACACTGGCTCTCTGTTATCTGAGAACATCCACAATGCTGCCAACAGTACTCCTGTGCAGAAATAATGTACACCTGTGACAAACCACAAAGAGTCGGCAAATACAGCCAGCGGATTCACTTGCTGGCTCGGACAGCATCTGAAGAAAGAACTATTTAAAAACACAAGAGGTGGTGCTATAATGAGGAAACCATGGAGAGCAGAAAGCTTATGATTATTGACAGAAGTTGATTAAGAAATGGATTATTGTCTGTTAGGATGTTGGAGTATCTACCGTCAGCTCTATCCGACGTATCTTTATGTAAATTTCCTTTAATTGAAGTATTCATTTACGATCCTTATTTTCATTGGTAATATGCTTTATTTGCATTTGAAAACAGAAAGGGGAGAAAAAAATTAAACATGACTGGCTGACCCCTGCCATGTGACAAAGGCTTTGCTTTTTGTCACTCTGACCCAAATGGATTAGGGCCAGGAAATAAAGGTCAGTCTTTTACCAGTACCCCTGTGTGTTACATTTTGATTACATGGAGTTTCCAAGAAAAATATCCCAATTTGCGTCAGTAATTATGCATTCTTTATGCATTTTCATGTAGTTTTCTGAGTTTATTTTGCATTCAGAAATCACCTTTGAGTGCCAGACCTATTAAAAACAAACCCTTTGTGAAATATCCTTCAGCAGTTAAATGTAAGTGGTAGATTTTGTAGCTGTGCATGCTCTTTTTCCCCCTTTTAATAACAAGAAGCTTCCATTTTACAGGAGTCTCCCCATCACTTCAGTCGTAAACGGCCAAGGCTGTGGTCGGATTGCTTTCCTTTGTGAATTTATAAGTACTTCATTGCTAAAGCAGTGCACAGATGAAGTAAGAGCCGGCCTTATATGTCGTGTAAGTAAATGCATGGAGGATGTACCCCGGGTGCTACTGCCGCACACTGACCACAGCCTTTCCCCATGGTGAGAAGCTGGAGGTCAGGTTTTAGCCATGAGCCATGCTGGGGAGCTCCCTCTCCTGTGGGAATTGGTTCCGGGCAGCAGTGCCCATTCCCAAGGGAGGCAAAGGGGTGAGGATCCCCTCCCGCTGCTGTCACCCCAGGCAGGGGCCAGCCAGCCCCACAGTACTGCTGGGAGTGCTGGGGGTTCCCTGGGCACAGCTAAGGAGGCAGGGCTCTGAGGACAGGCTGCTATGGGAGTTTCTGGTTTAGTAATTTGAATGCTAACTTTTTAATCTGGTCATTATTTTCTTTGATTGCTAATACCTTGACCTCTGGTGACAGCGGCTGCTTGTGCCTGCTAAACTTTAATGCAGGCTACAGTAAAGAACATTATGGTTATTTGAAAAGGCAGGGTGTAATGCATTTCAGATTAACAGTGAAAGAAAAGCTATTCAAGTTAGAGGTTCACTTTGCCGTATCTCTCTCTGTGCTGCTTTCCTTATTATCAGTACAAAAAATGAAATGAGAATAGCACATCTTTTAATTTTCTTCCACTATTACCTCTTGATTTGCATTCAGAGCTCCCAGAAGAAATACCACTGAATTCAGAAGGAGTCTATTTAAGCTGCATGATGTTTAAAAATTGCTGGAAGAGGTTAAGGTACTGTGTATTATGCAGTTGACCTTACTAAGAAGCTACGCTGGCAATTTAGACTTATAATTTTGTTAAAACACTTTTCTAAACCAAAATTCATTATCTCTTTCGGTACCCCTGCAGGTTAAACCTTTTGATTTCTCTCTAACTTATTTTGTAAGATTTCTAAATTGTATTTAAACTCCTTGTGCTTAAAAGATTGTTTTGCCAGTCTCTTCTTGAAAAGAGGGGATTTTTTGCCTCTTTGTACCTGGTCTGCAGAGGCGGTGCACCTTCACGGCATTTTCCTTGGGAGGGAAAAACCTCAACCCTCCATCTGCAGAGTCCTGCAAACACATCTGAACTCTTTCATCTGGCACTGTTATGTCTTTGTGGCTGATCAGCTTAGAACAAGGTGTCTGGGGAAAATACTTTGGATGTTGCCTTTACCAAGCTGTTGTAGTTTCCTGGTACATTGGATTCAGCTCCCTGGATTTAATCTTTGTTCCCTGGTTCTGTGTAGGGATGGCCAACACAGGCCCTGGTCACTGATAAAACCAGTAAATCCTAACAAAGCATCAGTAGTGAAAAGTGCCAGAACAGGGGAGAGCTGAACCCTGTGACTCTTGAGCTTCTGTAGCCCTCAGTAGGGGTGTTTGTGCTCTGTACTGCTGCTTGAGCAAATAAAATGTTAGCAGTGGAACCCTGTAATGCTGAATGTTTTCCAGAATGCCCATGGTGCCCCCACCCTGGCTCTGCAGTCTCCAGCAGTGGGTGTTTATCATGGCACTGTCTCCTGCTCAGCTCTCATATAAAATCTACAGTGCGACTCTGCCAGTGAGTAAAATAGGGTCAGGGCTCTAGGGCCTGAGGCCAAGTAGCACAGACCAGCCCTATCAGCAATGTGACCCTCAGGAATGATTCTCCTTTTGAATAGGTTTCTGGTTTTTTCAGTCTGCAGTGTTGAAATACAGAAGGAGCTGTGCTGCAATGTTTATGCTGCTCATACAAGTGGGCATGTTTGAGGTGCGAGGCATCCTGGGTCCCACTGGAGAATTGCAGGAGGGGATGGAGACAGGCTGGACAGGGTTGCCATATTCCCCACTGGAAATGATCACTGGTGCATGCTCCCCCTCTATAACGGGTGGGTGCTCTTAAGCCATTCTAGTTGGCATGCTACAACTAAAGCAGTAAGGACCATGAGTGGCACAGTGCTTCGGATCGCTGACCCCCTTTTGCTTGGCTGCATTGCCAAAGCACCAAAGCACCCAAGCCCAAGCTTGCAACTGGCCCTGAGAGCCAGCAGGTCAGGGGTGTCTCTTCACTGAAACAGGATCAAGCTGTGACTCGCAGCTGCCAGCACAGGATGAGGACAACATAGGTGTTTCGATACTTCCTTGTTTCCCCAGTTCCTATTCATTCTTCACACTATTGCAACAGGTGCTGGGACTTTAACACAGCATGAGCAGTGTATCGACTGCTGCCTGTCTGTGGTAAAGTCAACGAGGGGAGCAAGGGAAGGCCGGTCTGGAGCCCCGAGCCAGAAGGAAGAGTTATTCATTTAATCTTTAGGTATGTAGACTGTGATGAGTACAACAGCAACTGAGCCACTTGAATAAGTTAGATACAGAAACAGCCACACTTGTTACTTATACAGCACCCTTTATTGGAAAATTAGAAAATGCCAGATACCAGTTTCATAGAGTAGGTAAACTGCATTCATCTGTTCATATGGAGGTGCCATAAAGCCTCTGTATCACTGGGATATAGCTACACAACAAAGACTATTTGGCAACCGATAAGTAAAACAGTTAGAGGTTTTGAGGAATAAAAGAATAAACCAAGGGGATAAAAACATACTAAACAGATGAAGAACCAGTCTCTGTGCAGAGCCAAGCTGAAACTTGGCAGCTTTATAAACCAGTTAACATAGAAATAAATGAAAGTCCAAACAATAGGAACAAATCTGGAACTAATAAAATCATGACCTCACAAATGTTGTAAATTGAAAGTAAAGATAAAAACATCTTTTGAATCAATTGTGTCCCTATAGTTTATTTGACTTCATACTTTGCTTCTGGGAAGATCCCGTATCTGAAAAAGCCGTATGAAGTATATTCATAAAGCAGTACACATGGAACTATTTCTCCTTGAAATAACAAGACACAAATTTGTCTCTATGTTATTAGCTGGTTATCCTCTGAATCATCCTGAACTTCTAGTCAGACAGCAAAGTTAAAATAAATTATTTCATCATGCTGAAGAATGTTTCTTAACTGTGTAATTCTTTCCTTTGCAGATGGCAGGTACTGAGCAGATAGTGGTTCTATGTGTCAGCATTTCTCTGGTGACGCTCAGCTTTAGCAGATTTTATGTTTTGACTAAAAGGATGCGATTATTTGTGCAGATAAAAAAAGAAAATCTTTATGTGTATACTGACTCCACTCAGTCTTGGCCAGTGCCAAGAAAAGTATACACTGTGTCTGAGGTGAAATGTAGACTATACCAATGAGGTCATCGCTGAAGCTTTATCATGAGATAACAGGTGACACTTCCAATTTCAGGCTTAATCAGCTTTATGACATCTGGCTTCTCAGAGCCAGTGTGAATGCAGCAGGGAAGACTTTTGCCATTTGAACATCTTCATTCCATTGGCACATGCTTGGCCCCATCAGTGCTTGCCCAGCAGCAGCACAGTGCTCCATCCCATGGAGTGATCAGGCTGGCACAAATGATCTTGGCGAGGAAAGGCTACATGCCAGATCAGCTCTTCCCTCAAGGCTGCAGGACCTGATAGACCTCCCTGAGGTGACTGAAGCCAGAAGCCTCTTAAGTGCCCCATTAGCCCAGGTCTCAGCTTGAGTTAGACTACCTGAGGTAAAATGCTGTCCAACAAAAGGTAACTTGTAGTCCTCTTATTAGTGACTGAGCAGGACAAATTAGTCAGATAGCTAAAATGAAGAATACATCCCTTCTTCATTTTAACCTTTCCAATTTAAATGTTTTTCATGTTTACATGGGATGGTAGGAGCCTTCTTAGAAACTCTAAACAAACCAGCTAATAAAACCATAGTGTTACATCACTGCAAGCCTGTCATCCCCTGTGGCAGGGATGGATCCCGACTGGCTTTAAATTG